CGGACCGGAGGTCTACACCGGTCGGACGAAGGTAGATGCTGAACTGTTCCGATCCTTCCAATTTGCAGGCCCGGCAAAAGGCTACCGCATTGATCAAAGAAATGTTGGGGATGGTTTTATCAGTGGAGGTTCCGGATGTAGTCGGAGGAGGTAAATCTTCCATCGGAGGATGAGGATCCGGAGACGGAAGCGACGTCGGAGGTGTCGAAGGCATTCCATGAGAAGTCGTTTGGAAATTGATGCTGCCCGAAACCCAGTCAATCAACGGATTGTGTAGGGTGAGCCAGCTATATCCAAGAACGATAAAACAAGAAGAATCCAACGGAGTAACATAAAATGTATCAGAGGTAACTACACTGGACGGAAAACGGATAGGCAAATCTATAGCTTCGGAAATCATATTATTACAAGTACCATCAAACAAACGGAGAGAAAGCGGAGATATCGGATATGTAGGAATTTTATTTTTTCGGACGAAATCAGAGTCTATAAAACAGTGAGAGGAACCACAATCAATTAGTGAAGGAAAATCAGAAATATCAGGAAAAGTAGGAATAGAAACGTATGGACAAAGAGAGTTCAGATTGGAAAGAGAAACAGCATTGAGACGTAGCTCTGTTGCACGGGTAGAGTCAACGCAACCCTCATCCCGTGCGGAGTCAGGAGGGTTGCGGACTATTTTTTTGCTTCATCTGAAGCCTCCGGTTTGTCTTCCGGAGTTACTACTGCAGCACGGCCTTTGGCAGCATGCGAAGTAGACTTGGTGCATTCCCGAGCCGAATGGCCGGGTCCACCGCAGAATAGACAGAGTTTATTATCCATCCGTCTCTTACGTTCTTCGGACGTGAGCTTTCCATCCTTTCCTAACTTGGAGGTAAGGTCCAGAGGTTTAGAAATGGAGGATGATGCAGAAGTTGCGGGTTTGTCGGATTTGTACCTCGAAGGTCCGGACGAGTTGGAACTCGTCCAATCGGACGTGGTTTGCTTAGGAGGAGTGGAGGTGGTGGGTTTAATTTCACGGGCGACTTCTCCCTTTTGTTCCCAGTATTGAGCGTCGGTAGTCTGGGCAAGGATCTTGTATTCGGAAAGGGTGGAAGGTTTACCCATGCGACTGATTTCGTCTTTGATACGAGCCGGAAGTCCATTATAGAATTGGCGTCTTAGGGCACCGTCACCCCAGCCATGGACTTGTGAAGCAAGACGCTGAAATTCAACAACATATTTATTAATGCGTTGTCCATCACGCATATGAAGTTGTTCCAATTGCATTTCCGCGTCTCCGGACGGATCGTGCAGTCCGAAACTGGTTTGGAGTTCAAGCATGAACGCGGAGTAATCATCCATCCAATCCGGACGATCATCGTCCTCGTCGGCTAGGAGATCCGGTTCGAACCACTCGAGTGCCATACCCTTAAGGTAGGATTGGGCGAAGTTGACTTTTGCCCGTCCGGAACGGAAGGCTTTGGGTTTGCTTTGGAAGTGAAGCTCGCATTGGACGAAGAATGCACGAAGCTTCCGAGGCTCAGTGCCATCGAAAGTATCGGGCTCACGGATCTTGACTTTAGAATCTTCGGACGAGGCTGGACGACGATTGTTGCGTGCGAGGTTGTCGATGGCTTGAGAAAGCTGAAGCATGACACGGTCTTGTGGGTTTAACCCGTCAAATTCATTGTCGTTGTCATCCGGTTCATCATCCGGATCACCTCCGAAGTCATCCGGAGGGTTTCCACTGGGAGTATCTTCATCGTCCGGAGGTCCTTCGTCATCCGGATCACCTCCGGCAGGAGTGCGCGTAGGGGTTTCCGGATGCGGACGATTCATGAGTTGCGAAATACTTTGAGCAGGACCGCATGATACACGGCGCTGAGAGAAACTAATGAAGGCGTTAACTACAGATGTCGGATCGCGTCGGGTGGACGAAAGTCCGACAGCGTGCAAAGCGGCTTGGTTTACTTTAGTAGGAGCCATGATATGAGTAAGTGTACTTGGAAAGGTGTGAGTTCGAAGATACTGTTAAGGCCGTACTCTCGTAGGATCGGATCCGAAGGACTTCGGCCTCAGCTCGTATGCTGTGCCCCTTTCCCAAGTACTGTCCCTTATTTCAAAGTACTAACGATAACGCGTCCGAAGGTCCGGACGGGTCTTGTAGTATATCCGGATGTCTTCCGGATATCGGAAATGTATATAAGACTAATCCGGACGTATCCGAACTAGAAACTAACAGAGTAAGACTACCCGAAGGTAGAGCCGAGGATATAGACTATCGGAATCTATCCGAAGTCTCGGAGGGTGACAAGAGTAAGAAGGACTCAAGTCCGGAGGACAGAAAGAGGACAAACTAAGATGATATTTGAACTGAGGTACTACAGGACATATACACGAGTTTATATACTATGAGGATAACGGAAGTATCAGTAAGCAAAGGTCCGAGGCTATGTACGAAGCATGTGCAAAGGTTATCAAACGCGAGTCAGAAATGAGACATAGGTTAACGGATCAGTAATCATACCGGTAATAAGTATAACCGAAACACCGGGAAGAGGAAATACCGAATAGGCTGTGTTTAACGTTATATGAACAGGAAATGAATTAGAAAGCTTATCGTAAATCAGATTGGAAGCGGATCTATACATCGGACCGGATCGGATCTCAGGGTCCAAAGTTCGGAAGAGAAGTGTGAATATATGGGATATGGCATATGGACAGAGCCTAACACTAGTCTATCAGAAGTTAATTAAATGAAGACAGAAATGAAAGAGAGATGGAAATTAAGTACAACCGGTTATACATATAACCAGATGTCCAGAGACAGAAGCTAACTGAGAAGGGAACAGATACGGAAGATAGAAGTCGGCCAGATCCAGAAATCCAGAAATGATTTGTGTGATAGGTCTGGGTCCAGGACACAGGATATGACAGTTACTGTGAGAATCTGCTTGACATCCAAATTCAAACCCAGATTTACCAGTCTGTCTATTGACAGTGTAAAGAGTTGATCCTGTGTAGGCACTACAAAAGCTATTACATTACCTTAGAACTCAAAGGTATGAGTGTAGTTCAATCCAAATAGACTGCCTGTAGAACTATCTCTTGATATAAAATGCAAGGGATGTCTTGTTAAGATTGAAGGTGAGAAAAGGAAAAATCACCCAAGGTGTGTCTGAAGTTCCAATGATGTGTCTGAAGTACTTGTCCAATACAAGTGAAGGTGGTTCAAAGTCAAGAAACAAAGGTCCAAGGTTGCACAAAGCATCTATAAAGCTTCTGATGAAACAGTGAGATTTTCAGGAGAGAAATGTGGCAGGTATGTCGAAGTACATCTAAGTGTAAGACTTGTGAGAGTACTGAAGTACAACTATGCAAAGCCTATTGAAAGAACTCTAAGATAGCAAGATGTGAAAATGGCAGTGGTCAGGCCAAATAATCATTCTGAATGAACAAAAAGATCGATTGCACGAAGTACAACTATCTGAAGGTGACTCCACTAACTATGACTCATAATAAGGGACATAAAGTGAAGTGTGAGTAGCTAGTGAGTCAGATTATATCCTACAGCATGAATGTCTGGAATTGCATAGGCAAAAGTAGTAGTGAGATAAGCTATCTAAAATGTAATAAGACTTGAGGTGAGCCGCTGTAAAGAGTAGATCCTGTGTGGGCACTTAGAAAGTGATCACCTCAGAACTCAGAGTGCAAGTGCAAGTCATCCCAAAGAGACTGCCTGTAGAACTACCTCTTTAAATTATAAGTGCAAGGGAGGTCTGTCAAGATGGGGGATGAGAGAGGAAAAAGTTACCCAAAGTGCATTTGAGGTTCCAAGGATATGTCTGAAGTACCAAAGTACTTGTCCAATATGAGTGAAGTGGTCTGAAGTTGAGAAATGAAGATCTGAGGTTGTGCAAAGCATCTGAAGAGCTTCTAATGAAACAGCAAAGTTTCTAGGGGAGAATATGGCAGATATGTCAAGGTATGTCTAAGTATAAGACTTGTGAGGGTACCAAAGTATGACTATGCAAAGCCTATCAAAAGAACTTAAAGATATCAAGATGCGAAATGGCTGCAGTCAGGCCAAACTATCAATTGATTGCATGATATACAAATATCCAAAAGTGGCTCTACTAACTATGACTTGTAGCAAGGGAAGTGAAGTGCAGTGTAAGTATCTAGCAAGCCAGATTATATCCTACAGCATGAACATCCAGAATTGCATAGGCAAAACTAGTAGCAAGATAAGCTATCCAAAATGTAATAAGACTCACTATAAGCTGCTATACAGATATGCATATAATAACATGTGAGGCGTGCTGCCAGATCAATGCCTCATAGTAGATGGAGCTTGTAGAAATTTTTTTCAAAATCTTGATTTTGTGACATACTTTTGACTAGCAACTAACCTCTTGTGATGTGTGACCAGTGGGTGAATTAGCAATGCAACCAAGGCCATGTGACATGTTATGGTTGCCTCCATACACAAAGGGATCATATTGCAATTAGCAGGATTTAAATCTGCATGATGCAATAGAAATAGATTTGACTCTGATGATCACTTGGCTAAAGCCATTGAAGATAAGTCTTTGAAACATTGTCTATAAGTGAATGTTCAAGATGTATTTCAAAGAGGAAGAAATATGGGCTGGTTTTGATGCAATAACTATGAGTTCAAAAGAAGCAGCTAATACTTGGAGGGATTTACAATCAACAAAGACAAACCTTCAGTATATAGAGTTCAAAAAGCATGTAGACCAGAGTCATGGCAATGATATGGCTAAGATCATTTGAGATGAGTTTCTCAGAAAACCACTCATGAGAAAGTAAAATTTATCATCAACAGGTTTCAAACCTACACAGTGCAAGAGAAACAGATTTTGACTCTGGTGATTACTTAATAATTTCATCTTTAGCAGGTTTTGAACCCATACAGGCAGATTTAGATTCTGTTGTATTAATTACTTGGCTAAGACTAGTTCAATACACTTCCAATGAACCCATTCAGAAGTGTATTAAGATGCAATCTCAGCCTTGATAGATTTGTATTTTTCCTCATTTCCTGGATCATTAGGATCAAACTTGAAAGTTTGATGTGTGATCTGCTCTTCTTCTTCTTCTTCTTCTTCTTTTTCTTCTTCTTCTTCTACCAAGTCAAGACCTTCAGAAAGAATTAGATTGTTCTTATACTTATCCTTCTGAGTTTGCATTGAGATTTTGGGTATTAAAGTCATACTCTTGGAGGAATAGATCCAAAGAACTTTGGCCTCAGCTCGTACACTGTGCCCCTTTCCCAAGTACTGTCCCTTATTTTGGAGACTGAGGATAACACATCTGGATGGTCAGACAAGTATTGTAGATTATCCGGAAGACTTCCAGATATCGGAAATGTGTATAAGGCTAATCTGGACAAGTCTGAACTAGAAACAAACAGAAGATAGACTATCTGAAGATAGAGTCGGAGATATAGACTATAGGAATCAATCCTAAGTCTTAGAGAATGATAAGATTTATTTAGACCACTTGATAGATTTTGAATCTATTGTGGCAATGATATGGCTAACATCAGTCAAGTTGAGTTTTTGAGAAAACCATTCATGAGACAATGTCAAGGTGTGTTTTATAGAAAACAAATGTTGCAACTGGCAGGTTTCAAACCTGCATGGCTCAAAAGAAACAGACTTTGACTCTGGTAATTACTTGACAATTTCATCTTTGACAGGTTTTGAGCCCACACAGACAGATTTAAATTCTGTTGTATCAACTGCTTGACTAAGAACTGTTAGATGCATCTCCAATGAACCCATTCACAAGTGAATCATCAAGGTATATTTATCTGCATTTTGTCAGTTCTTTCAATAATATGGTCACTGCCATTGATTCTCTTATTCTACTCTTATCACAAAAGACATCAGACTTCTCCTAGGCCTATATTTCAAGACCTGAATATCTAGCAATTGCTTCAAAAAAGTGCTGATGGCAGACCATTATGGTGGGCCAATGATGTCCGTGATGTCTTGGGATTAACAACCAGGTCATAAGTGATAACTGACAACAGAAGGATCACATATGATTGGGCTCTAGAGGTATGTTAGAAATTAATGTTAGAACTGACAAAATGCAGGATAAGTGTATCTTGAAGATTCACTTCTGAATGAATTCATTGGGAGCACATATAACTGGCCTTAGCCAAGCAGTTAATATAACAGAATCCAAATCTGTCTGTGCAGGTTTAAAACCTGTCAAAGATGAAATTGCAAGTGATCATCAGAGTCAAAATCTGGCTACTCTTGGACTGAGTAGGTTTAAAACCTGCCAATAATAACATTTTTATTTTATGAAATCACATCCTGTCCCATACCAAGCACTATATTTTTGTGCATGCCCTACATGACATGTCCATCTATTGTCCAATCCAATACTGCTAATATATTTTCATCATTTTATTTTTGTGTCATGCTGAAGAATACTCCCAGCTACAGACCACAATGTATAGATGCAAGAGAAACATTCTCACCACATTCTCCTGCAAAACTAGCACAAAGTAGTCACACCTTGGGTACATTGAAAAAGATAAAACAGATATAAATTATATCACTTTGATGAATACTCCAAAATGTATCACTGTCTCTATTTGCTTGCACTTGGGTCTCTGAGAATCTATACACTACAAAAGATTTTGCAAGCAGGTTTTGAATCTACATAGATTGAAAGAAACAGATTTTGACTCTATTGCAACATCTACATCAGGAAAAAAACCTTTGACTACACCGAGCTATATAATTACTGTAGTTACTGTAGCTCATTGTGTCAAGTGCGTACTATATACAACTACACAGTCACATGTCTAGCTATATAGCACTACCAGAACTCCTGTAGTAAACAGCTACAGGTACTATAGGTAGCTATGCACTCCTACTATAGCCATTAATACCAATCACTCTAGAACCAGAAAACAATGTAATCGAATATATTCAAGGTACACAATGCATACACTCATGAAATCCAGTGGCCTCATAAAGTGCCAATCGTCACCAACCTATACACCTTCCCCACGCTCCTTTGCCCAAGTCTCCACTTTGTACTCTTGGATTGTATCATCAAATATGTCATCTGTGAAGCCTTTGACGGTCACTGCTGCCTTAGGCAGATTGATACTAGCATGGAACCTTTGGATCAATGTCAGTAAGGGTCATGATTCAGGCAAGTACTAACTGAGCAACATTGAGGAAATTATCAGTAATTTTCTCCAGTAGTTTGTAACTAGCCGTCTGCTCCTCAAATCACTTCAAGGAGTCCAAATGGACCAGGTAGACTGGAGAATCAATGACTGCCGCAAATTTGATGTCTTCCCTCATGTCTGTGGCCCACTCATCAATACAACACTCTATCTGTTAGAATTCAGCTGCAGCTCTAAATTTTGGACAGCTTGAAGACACTAACTACTGTGAGTATGAGTGCCAACATCTTTACCAGAAAAGGGTCAAAGTATTCAGCATAGATTATACCTTCATCAATGTGGTTCATGAACCACATGTCATTTATCCCTGCCTGGATTAAATCAGATTTGTATATGTCAGATTTCTTCTCCTAGTCCTTTTATTCAGCCAGTCAGATAACAATTAACAATGGTGAAGCTGACCTACCTTAAACACAAAGGACGACCCTTCCTTGAGTGTCTCGGCCAAGTCACGGTTTCCCCTAATGGCCACTATAGATCAGCTTACACGGAAGCCAAAAAGCAAGGCTGTGAGACCACACATTTTGGTTTCCCCACACACGTGTGAGGTCTGCCTTGCCATCTACACAATCAACCAGGATCAGGACATGAAAATAACATGCTGACTGCTTACCATTTTAACCAATGAAGGCATTAGTTGAATAGCAAGTCCTGCTGCATCAGATGTATCACACCACACATGCTTTGCTAGCTGGGTCTTGACAATGAGTGTCTCAGGAAAAGGTCTCTGAGTTACAACTAGACAGCAGTAAATAGATGTCACTGTGGTGAGTACATTTTTGTGATGTCATTGAAATCCCTGGCCCTTAATTGCCAGCATGCTCCTTTTGAATCTTTGATGATCTTTAGAATAGTTTCTTCATCGATGTCCTCCTGCAGGCATTTGGACCTGACAAACTTTTCAGAAGTTGCACTGACCACTTCATTATCATCATCAAGTGCTGCTGCTGCTATTGTTGATCCTGCTGTCAGTGCTGCTGTCAGTGCTGCTATCATTGCTGGATGAGACCACTGGAGCAGAATCTATGCAAAGTTAGTTAGTCAAAGAACACCCTGCCAAGATTGCTAACCTTTCTTTGACTTAGCCATGATCTTACTCATTTCCATTGGTTGCAAGACAGTCGGAGGTGTTTTACCTGTACTGAATGTGAGCACCTGCACCTTTGCAGGTATACTTCAATGTGAAAACTATTATATAGTTGTGAGCACTTGAATATATGAATAATAAAATGCTGACCATAATATCTTTGTCTCTGTCAATCTCACTCAGGAGCTCGGCAGGTAAGACTTCAGGATTTGTATGATATGTCGTCCGCAGTGCCTTTAAGTTATGTTTCTCCTTCTTGATTTCCTCAACTAGTTTGTGGTCATGTCCTCGATGAGATTTTGAAACTGTTAAGTAGACGTAAGCAAACACACGTTGAGCAATAACACAAAATTACTTACTTCAATATGTCTCTTTTTCAGTTGGCCAGTGCTAATGACCACTTGCAGTGTGTCTGGCTGTGGATTCAATCTGTGCGCTGTAGAAACAACAATACAGAGAGGAACAATGATGCTCCAAACTGTATCTAAAAAATTGTTGTAAGGTCGTGTGTTGCCTAGTCTGCGTTACCTGAGGAGACAAGTGCGTTCGACCCTGAAGGGGAAGCGAGTGCAGCAAAGATCTAGATGTACGCGCCTCAGTGAAGCACGAGAAAGCGCAGGTGCGCGCAAGGCGCGGGAACACGCGCGCGTATGCGGAAATTGATAAAGACTAAGCTTAAGTGATAATATGATGCAAGGTAGGAGAAGAGAGATGCAAAGTGTAGACAAATAGATTTCTACTATACTCTGCTAAGTAGTAAGTGACTGGTAGGAAAAGTAAGTTGTAAAAATGGAAAGTTAGTTGAAAAGTAAGTCAGTAATAGTATGTACTGCTGGCGCTTATATAGCGCGCCTAAGCGCAGTCATGCGGAGCCGAAGCGCTACCGAGTAGGTATGTAAGGATATATATGGGTGAGAGTCTATGATAAAAATAAAGGTGGAACACTATGCTAATAAAGGAAATGGAAATATACGCACTAGGGAGCTTGGTGGACAGTGGATGGATGCATCTGGATGGCTGGCGCTATAGGGCGCGCAAGCACGGGAACGCGCGCGCGCGGATACATCGCGAAGCATGGGAATGGTGCGCGTTGTGCGGGAAAGCTGCGCCTCATATAAGAATTGCTGTGGACAGTACACAGAGTGGTGCTGCGAGTTGGTGCTGTATACTCCCTTAGTGAAAACTGCCATATCACGCCATGAGAGGCATGAGTCTCTACAGCGCATAGGTCCTCCTGGGCCTGCAAGATTGCCTTTTGCTTTTGAGAACCCATTGAGAGGCAAGTTTTCCTGCCATGATTCAGGTTAGTCTGTAGTCAAAAAAGAAGAACAATTTGTCTTTAAATACCCTTGCTGTAGTGTCTGATCAACAGACCACTTTGAGTTCTGTTGATTTCAAAGTTAAAGTTTCAATCTGACCAAACAATATCAACAGAATGGTATAAAATGAGCAAAAACAAATATGACTTCTAACACTTATGGCAGATACTACCAATCTCACCAAAATACCCAGATAGCAAGTGACAGGCTTGTCTGAGACACACCACACATTGACCAATGTGGCAGCTCAGTCTTCTCACTATTCAGCAAACTGAATGAAAAGGATCTTGCAGTCAGCCAACAGTGGGTTACTCTGAGAACTGCCATGACACACACTCACCATCCAATAGGCCTCCAAGTTAACTCTTTCATGTGATCACTGCTCCAGGATAGGCTAGAGAGGCTCTCCCAGCTCCAGGATGGGTTAGAGAGGCTCCACATGCTCCTGAGCATTATTATCCTTTGCAACAATATCATCAGACACCAGGACCCATAACTATGTCTCAGACTTACCTGTGAACCCTTGTCTTGGAATGTTGGATGCAGAGATTAGACATTGCGATGAGGTGTGCAAAGTGCAGCTCTCTGAACACATATAAGGGCCTGTTACTCACCAAACATATGCGTGAGAGTTGATAGTCGGGTGCTAGCATGTAGAGAAGCAGCAGTGCCAAGAGGCACACAAAGTTCAACTATTGGAATTCCTCCTTGCGTCTCATGGTATTATCACCTTAGTTTAGTTAGTTAGTTATGTCAGTAGTCACTCAGGGATGAATGGAGATGATATTAATGATAATCAAGGTCAATGAGATATTCGGAATGAGAAGAAAAAATGACCAATAGACAAGAGAAAAGAAAAATGAGGATAAGAGAAGACATGCGATACATGAATTCTACATTTGCAAAGGGAGGAATAGCCAGCAAAAGAAGACACACTGTAGGAATACAACACAAAGTGGGGCTATACAAAGATGGCTCCAAACTGATATCTTTATGTTGTGGTTTTGCACCACCTAGTCTGCTATACTTGGTGAGACAAGTGTGTTCGATCCAGGGGTCTGCGGTCTGGGAATAGTTCTGGGGGTCAGTGAATGATGTGAGGTCAATAGTCCAAGTGCGGGAAACAATGTCTGGAGGTATAATTACAATGTCCGATGCAAAAAGCATCAGGTCCGATGTTTTCGGGTTTCGGGTTGGTCAGGTTCGGGTTCGGGTTATCGGAAACTAATAGTAACACTATAGTGAGCATTGGAAAAGCGAGCGGTGTGCGCAATAATAACAATGATAGATACAGACAATGAAGGAACGATGATATTCGCAATGTCAACTAAGAACTACAAAATATCAGGTTTGACCCCTAAGCGTCGGAGAACAGCTCTCCTCTACTCAGATGATGATGATGCTATGGGGAGTCCAATATATATGTAGATACGTAGAAATACGGTGTAGAAACAACGATACAGAGAGGAACAAATGAAGCTCCAGACTGTATCTATAAATGTTGAAGGTTGTGCGTTTGCCTAGTCTGCTATGCTTGAGGTGGCAAGCGCGACCCTTAAGGGGAAGCAAGTGCAGCAAAGATCTAGAGGTATGCGCTGAAGCGAAGTGCGAGAAAGTGCAGGTGCGCGCAAGGTACGAAGGTGCGGGAAAGCATGTGCGCGTGCGGAAATGAGAAAGAGTAAGCTTAAGTGAGGATATGATGTAAGACAAGTGAAGAGAGGTGCAAAGTGCAGACAAATAGATTTCTACTATGTTCTTCTAGGCAGATAGTGGGTGGAAAGTAAAGTAAGGTAAGGTAAGTGGTAAAAAATGGAAAGTTAGTGGAAAAGTAAGTAATAGTATGTACTGTTGGTGCTTATATAGTGCGCCTAAGCGCGGTCATGTGGAGCCGAAGTGCTACCGAGTAGGTATGTAAGATATATATGGGTGAGAGTCCATGATAAAAATAAAGATGGAACAATATGCAGATGAGAGAAATAGAAATATACGCACTAGAGAACATGGTGGACAGTGGATGGATGCATCTGTATGGCTGGCGCTATAGGGCGCTCAAGCGCGGGAACGCGCGCGCGCATATACATCGCAAAGTGCGGGAATGGTGCGCGCATGGCGCGCATTGCGCGGGAAAGTTGCGCCTTGTATAGGGATAGCTGCGGGTAGCGCACGGAGTGACACTACAAGTTCGTGCTATGTACTCCTTAGTGAAAACTTGTCATATCACACCATGAGACACACGAGTCTCTACAACGGAACCCTATAGGTGAAGGTAGTAGCGCAATATTTCGGATCCGATGTCCTACGTAATAAGACATGATGTACTGTGGACTATGGGAATACATGTGATAATGTGGTCCGAAATGTTAGGGATGTGAAAACAAGTAACTACACACCTAGTGAGGCTAGCACAATGAGGCTGGACATAGGTGGGATGAGTCTGCACAATATCCGATAGTCCAATGCAAAACCCGATGTGATGTCCGATGTCCAATGCAAAACACGATGCAAAACCCGATGCGATGTCCAATAATCTGATGTCCAATGTCTGATGATTTTCGGGTTTGATACATATTAAGTCGGATACAATAGGAATGATTTGGGTAATGATTAGCATGTCTACATGCATCAGAAAATAGACCTCTACGAGGCCACAGAGATGTCAGTCTCTACAACGTGATATGTGAACTCTACATTTGCAAAGGGAGAAACAGCAAGATGAGAGAAACCATCGGAAACAATGAATATCATGTGAAAGGGAGGAATATGGTGCGTGTCACTTAGCCACCACTACTTTTGAACAATGTTCTCACCCCCTTGAAAAAAAATCAGATTTTTATTTCCTCTTGTAAAAATGATCCCTTCGATGAGTAGAGTAAAGCTATAAGAGGAATTATTGATTGAATCAAATCTGAGCGAGTTTTTTAAAAACAAAAGGGATGATTTGGCCACCTAAAGTACTATGACTCCCCATCAATCAAAAATGCGAGCCAATGTCTCCAGAATATGTCTGTGAGACTTGTACTTTGTAGAGCTGAATTGCTCAACCTAAAACTGGGCATCCTTTGTGCTCAGACCTGTCTGATATGCCTCCATCCAGCAGTGCATGCGATGTTCCCACAGTCAAATGATACTGCACTGCTACCTTCCTGTGGTTCTTGGGCATCAGAGACTGGTAAAAACAACATCTGCACAATAAATTGTCATTGTCTACTGTAGCGCTACATGTTTCAA